CCCTCAGCCCGTCTCCCTGCCCCCGAGGCCCTCAGCCAGCGCCCCTGGTGCCCACCCGCCACCACTCACGTTCCTTCGGGGTCCCAGTGGCGCTGGCTGGACACAGCCTCTGGGGGCTACTTATGCTCTTGGGGAGGAGCAGGACCGGCTGTCCATCCTGCCCAGCGCCCCCGCCTGCCCCCGCCCAGCTGTCGGCTCAGCCTCCCCCAGCCCGGCCTCCATAGCTCCTGACAGCTGCTCCAGCCTGTCCTCCACGTGGCAACCAGGACTGAGAGCTCCGGTGGCCCCCAGGGGCCTCTGCCCTGCCCAGAGCCGTTAGGGGCCCCTCTGTCTGCAAGGGGCTCGGGCTCCCCCCACCAACTGTTCTGAGAGTCCCAGGGCCTTCGCAGGCGCCCCGCCTCCCGTCCCAGGTATAAGGAGTCGACAGCCGCCCAGGCTGTTCCGGCGGCCGATGCCAGCAAAGGGGTTGGCGATGACGCCCGGGGACACCTAGGGGGCGAGGACACGTGTGTGGGGCCGTCCCTGGGTGACGGGCAGCACTGCTGGCCCCGGGACACGGCCACATCCGTGGTGACACGAGAGACTGAGCGTGGTGCCCTTCAGGACAAGGGAGGCTCTGCCTCTGATGGACCTGCAGCGGCTCTAGAAGCCCCCACACGTCGTGAGCAGGTGGCCTAGACCGTGGCCCGGCGCTTGCCTGTGCCCACAGCCCCCTGGTGCCCACCCGCCACCACTCACGTTCCTTCGGGGTCCCAGTGGCGCTGGCTGGACACAGCCTCTGGGGGCTACTTATGCTCTTGGGGAGGAGCAGGACCGGCTGTCCATCCTGCCCAGCGCCCCCGCCTGCCCCCGCCCAGCTGTCGGCTCAGCCTCCCCCAGCCCGGCCTCCATAGCTCCTGACAACTGCTCCAGCCTGTCCTCCACGTGGCAACCAGGACTGAGAGCTCCGGTGGCCCCCAGGGGCCTCTGCCCTGCCCAGAGCCGTTAGGGGCCCCTCTGTCTGCAAGGGGCTCGGGCTCCCCCCACCAACTGTTCTGAGAGTCCCAGGGCCTTCGCAGGCGCCCCGCCTCCCGTCCCAGGTATAAGGAGTCGACAGCCGCACAGCCGCACGGCTTGGTTCAGTGATGGGGGACTG